CAGAACCGTGATGTTTGCCTTTTTTCTCTTTTGACATTTCCATACATACTTTAGACTTGTATCTAACTGGCAAATACTGGTTTTCATGTTTTTAAACTTTTGATTCATACATATTGCAGTGCATAATGAATACATTCATGGTGGGCAGCTGGAACATGTACATGAAAATGTCTTAACTCTTTTTCCATCTTTTTCCTCTCCCTCACCTTTCCCAAAATTTCTTAGTCCCCTTCCCATTTGCCAAAGATCTATCATGCTATCTCCCATTGCCCATCTTTGATTTTACTCTTTTATTGTATTTATACTTTGGCTTTCTCATATAAAAGAACCCATACTACTTTTAAGGACGTGCGTCTGATTTATTTCACTTGACATTATGGTTTCAAGCTGCATCCATTATCCTACAGATGTTTCACATTTATTCTTCTTTATAGCTGAATACTACTCCATTGTGTATACGTATCAGATTTTCCTCATCTCTTTATCTGTTGAGGGACATTTAGGTCACTACCATAATTTAGTCATTATGAATTCTGCTGTTATAAGTCACAAAATCAACCCTGAGTAAGGAGAGCAATGCAAGAGTTATCATAATCCTAGATTTCAAGTTATACCACAAAGCTACAGTGATAAAAATAGCGTGGTCCTGGCACAAAAACAAACATGCGGGTGAATAAAACAGAGCAGAGCCCACAGAAACAACCCAAGATACACTCAGCCACTGATCTTTCACAGAGGGCCCAGTGTTTTAGTAGGTTGTGAGCTGATTAGGTCTCTATGTGTGTTCATTGGATCAAGCTGGTCAATTGCGTTACACTTTCATTGTTGACCTGATTGGTCTTCACTTATTAAGAATATATGGGTCTGTTGACTTTTCCTTTTAACTCAGTTTTCATCTTACATATTTTGACTCCATGTTATTGGTACTTGCAAAGTTAGAGCTGTTACTATTTTCTGCTTGAGATCCTCCATTTTAAAGTGTAATGGCATTTTATTCCAAAGAAAAATATTTTTCCTACAGTCCATTCTATCTATATTTTACAGGTCTACCACCTTTATTTTGATTAGGATTTGCCAAAATGTATTTACTAATTACTTTACTTATGTTTATACTGTCTAATACCATTTGTAGATGGCCATTATTTGTTTAGTTTACTCACGTTTGTCAATGCGTATACTCACCATTCTTTGGTGCATATTACTGCTAACTTCACTTTCAGCTACATGAAGAAATTCTTTTTGTAGTTCTTTTCATGAAATTTCAATTGTTGACTTATTGAAAATCTCTTCAGAGACTATTGTAATCACTTACTTGTTGAAAATGCCTACGGCAAATCTACTGTGTGTTATCAGGCACAGTTTTACTACTGGGGATATCACAACAAATGGAACAAAGTCCTCACTCCTCTGGAACATCCAGCCTCCTGGAGTGAACCAAATAATACACAGATAACTTTTCTCAGTGTATGGAGAAACTAAAACAACACACGATGAGGGAAAGTGAAATTAACATTTGTGATCAGGGGGTCGAGGAATGCCTCGGTGATGTGGCAACTTTCCAGCCAGACCTGAAGACCGTGCAGGTAACAATGGGGACCTGTTAGTAGTAAATTTTCTATGTTATTTCATTTGACTAAAGTTATCTTCATTTTGATGTTGCTCTGAAATGATGATCTAATTGGTGATAGAATTTGGTTAACAGGTATCTTTAAGAGATATCTTTCTCTTAACATTTTTTTTTTTTTTTTTTTTTTTTTTTTTTT